AAGGGCGCTAGTGTTTTATTATTATAATACTTCTTTTCTACCTTTTTACTTTTTATATAGTTTATAATTTTAGCTATTATATTTATATCTTATAGATGATTTTATTTTCTTTTTTTTCTTTTACCCCCTTTTTCTATCTCCTACCAATTGTCTATGCTCTGGAATGGGTGGAAGTTGTTTATTTTCTTAGTATTAATTACTTTTACTACTTAGAACTAAGTAAGTAATTCTATTCTTATAAACTATCTTATTACTACTTAAATACTATCTCTTTAGCTTAGTATTTTTTTTTGTTGTTTTAATAAAAATAATACTATTAATTTAGTTCTCTCTAGTCTAAAGTAGTAAAAAAGAGTATAGTGTATAATTTATATTAGCTAGTTATAATTACACTATAAGAATTTATTTAGAACTCTTATTTTTATTAACTAGGTATTAAGGCTAAGGACTTCTGTATATAATAGAAATAAAATAATAGCTTCTACTTTTAAAAGTTCTTTATAGAATAGGATTATAGATATTTTTTATAGAATATATTAAATAAATACTATTTATTTTTTTACTATACTTTATTATTAGCGTTGCTACTTTATATTTATCTACTTTAAAATAAAAGTAGCTATATACTAGCGGTGTTAATAGCTACTAATATAGTATACTTATAATTTTTCTATATATTTCTGTCTCTATTAGTGTTAGTGGTTTCTAGAGTTTTCTCTTATAGAATAAACTAGAACTTCTTTCTTATATTCTTTTACCTAATTTTAAAGCTTTTCTAGTAGAGTTAGTAGTTATATTATGGTTTACTATTAACTTACTAGTAATACCCAGATATTATTTAGGGTACTTACTATTTTTTTTTATTAAATTCTAATTAGTATCTAAAGCCCTTAGAGTCCTATCTAGATTTCTAATATTTATACTACTTATATTAAACTTAATAAATCTAGTTACACTAGATTTAGATAGTAGAGATTTAGACTATTTTTAGTTATATAAATAATCTATTACTATATATAGAAGAACTCTTAGTAATTATACTTTAGAAGTTTATATCTTAAACAGGCCTCTAGCAGCATCTCTAAAAGTTAAAAAAAAAGATAATACTTATATTATATTTATGTATATAGTTAGCTTAAGTATAAGTTAGGTTTACTTTAGCCTTCTTAAAGAAGTTAGAGAGAAAGATAATATCTATATTATATATATATCTATAGCTAGCTTAAGTATAAATTAAGCCCTTATAGTCCTATTTAAGTTTCTAATACTTATACTATTTATATTAAACTTAATAGATCTAGTCGTATTAGATTTAGATAGTAAAGAGTTAACTAAACTTTTTATAATACTATTTTCAGGCTATCTTTAGTTACATAAATAATTTATTACTATATATAAGAGAATTTTTAGTAATTATACTTTAAAAGTTTATACCTTAAATAGGCTTCTAGTAGTACTTTTAAAAGTTAAAAAAAAAGATAATATCTATACTATATTTACGTATATAGTTAGCTTAAGTATAAGTTAAGTTTACTCTAGCCTTCTTAAAGAAGTTAGAGAGAAAAATAATACCTATGTTGTATATATATTTATAACTAACTTAAGTATAAGTTAGGTTTACTCTAGCTTTTTAGATTCTACTTTTTTAGTCTACTAATATACGTATTTGTTTTCTCTAGCTACTATATTATCTCTTTAGGTAGTAACTTTATACGTAGACTTTATACTAGTAATACTCTACTAAAGGCAAAAAACATACTCTCTAGTATAATCTAAATATAAATTAAGTTATTTCTATATTATAGATAGGTTAATAGTTTAGTTTAGTTTTTAATATTTTTAATATAAATAGAGAGCATATTACCTGCACTTTCTATTACTATTTTTTTAGTTATAGTATAATATTATAGCTTACTAGCTGCTTAGGTGCTATTCTAAAGCTAGTTTTCTATTATCTATAAAAATCTCTCTTTATAAACTGTTTATATTTTATAAGTAAATAACTTAAAGACTTTACTTAGCTAGTATAAAGCCCCTAATTACATTACTTACTAACTTGTTTTAGTTTTATTATATATATATCTAGATACGGTGCACTGTCTTTAAGGGGGTGTTTTAATATTAGTATTAATATAACTTACTAAAGTAACTTAATTACTTATATTTTAACTTAATAAATTTATTAGCTACCCTGTAACTCTATTAGTTAATAACTTCCTTTACTTTTAGTAGTAATATTTAGGCTTCATTTATGCTCTTATTATACTAATAAAAAAGATTATATATATTATAAAATACTAATATAATTTTAGAGCTAGTTAGAACTAAGAATATCCTATCTATCTACTAGAACAGCTTTAAGTTAGGTAGTTTTCATATTCTAGTATCCCTTTATATAATTAGTTAGATTATATAGTTAGTATTATATAGTTATATTATTAGCGTATTATAATAATAACTTAGTATAAAAAAATCTTTATTATAAGACCTTAATTTTAATAACTACTTATAACTTAATAGTGTGTCATCAGCGGCTTGATATAACTCTTTAAACTTAAAAATATTAATTAATAAATAAATATTCTTAATTTTTATTATGCCTAATGGCTTTTTTAAGCCGCCCTTAATATACGCTCATTAAGAGGTTTTTTATTAATTAAATATAATTATTTTAATTTTTAATAAAAGTATTTTATTTTCTAATTATTATTTTAAAGTTTATAAAAAATTTGTTATATAATAATTATAGTTATTATTTTTAAAATTATAAAATTATAAAATTATTTAAGTTTATATTTACTATTATTTAGTTAATTATTTAAATGTTTTTTAAACCATAATAATTTTTAGCTAAATAGTAGTTTATAACTATTTTTTAAAGTTATATAGTTATTTATATTTACATTATACTTATTACTATTTAGTTAACTATTATATATATTTAAACTTAAACTATAAAAAAAGTTTAAATAAATATTAATTACTATATATATAAAAAAATTTACTTAAAAAGCTATTTAAAAGCAGTTTAATGTTTAAGTTTAAAAGTAATTTATATAATAATTTGTATTTTTATATAATTATATATTTATATATTTAAAAGTTATTAAATATAAAATTATTAAAAAATACTTATATTTTAATATATGCTTTAGTATAATTTACTAAAATTAATATATATATATATATATATTATAATTAAATTAAGCATTAAATAAAAAAATTAACTGTAAAGTATTTAAATTAATTGTATTTAAAAACTAAAATACTTTTTTTGTTTAATTAAATTATATTAATTTAAAGTGTAAAATAGCTTTAAATTTAAGTACAAAAAAATAAAAAAGCACTATGTTATAAAGTCTTAAAGTTAAATAAAAGTTAATTGTTTTTACTAGTTAGTAGAGTAAGTAATATACTCTTATTATGCTAATAAAGTACTATCATATAATAGTGTACGGAGTTATTCTTTTGTATAATGCCCTAACATCCATATCCGTGATAAATTTAGTTAAGTTAAAAAGAAACAAGTTCGTACGAAACTTAGTATATTAAGTGGAAGGTATAAAATCATAATTATTTAAATGCTTCTTTTGCATTCGACAATAACGCATTCTGTGGGCTAATGCATTTAGATTAAAAGCTAAATAAATAATCAATTTTGATGCTCCCGCACGGTGCATAATTTCAAGTTTATGCCTGAGGCCGTTAGGCAGCGAGGTGTCCCCAGTGCAGGGGATAGGACATGATTTGGTACACAATCGAATACCTCTTCAAAGTACAAATCTTCAGGCAAACCTGAATGGTTGCGGACGAATGCGTTGAGTTGGAGCTAGAGGATGAGAACTTCCCGCTGACCACTAGACCCCCATTACTCGAGGAATTTTACAATATGCTCTTTAATACATGCATATATCCTGAGTGATATTCGACGAGGAGGGGTGTCCTGCGAGTGTCAAGGGAAGAAGACGCACTCAAGTTACTCTTATTGGCTGAATGGGGCAAATGAGCTCTTCGAAAAGCTCGATGACGTCCAATCTTGAAGGAGGAGGGTAGATATGAAGTGATTGCCCACCTGATGATCGAATCCCAAATTTAAAGAGGTCGACCATAGAGACCAGAACGAACGTGACCGAGTGTGCGCGTGACCCGAAAATCATAATCAGGACATTTGAAGTCCTCGAATGCCTACCATCTACAGGTCCCTCTAGTATATCCTTTTTGAATAAGAAGGACTTGTAAATAGGCATGTTTTTGGTAGTATTTCGCAACCCTATAGCAGTCGTGGCGCTGCCTAGGTAGTAGCGCCGTTTCGAACGTTAGGTTTGCATGCTTTAATTGAGCTAAGTATTTCACTACACATATATCTCATCGAATTGTGTTTCAATTGGTCCTGTTGTCTTAAACGGCGTACGTTCCTCGGCAGAGTATCTCGCGAGTGTCCAGTTGCACTCGTGTTTCGAATCGCCATGAATGTAATCTCGATCTAAACTTGCACAGTGGATCACTCTTTTTCATGAGTATTCAAGAAGTAGGAACCCCCTTTAGCATCTGAAATTGTGATTTGGACCTACTGGTGTCCTCCACACAGAGAAAGTTTTAGCGGAGTCTTGTGCTCCGTGGCCTGCTCGCTTAATTTGCCGGATTTTAGGTCCCAAATACGGGTTTACAGGTATATGCTGTGTATAAGCTCTAAATCAGACTCAGATTCATTTGTTTCACACTCCCCGAAATGTATCTGTCCAAGCTGGTAGAGCGGGGGTCAGTGACGGAGGTCATGTGGTCGAACGTTCCGAGATGATCCCATGACCAACCCACCGTCACCTAGCCACCCCCACTTCTGTGGCACTTACTACACCGCTTCATTGTGTGCCATTAGCGGCTCCTATCTCGCTAGCTCCAAGATTGCACATATATTATCGAAGTTCGACACGTTGAGGTACGTTGCCACGGTTATATATCTATATCTAAAAATTAGATGTTCAAATCAAATAAATTGAGCAAGACTAATGGTCTAGTGGTATGACGTTCGCTTCACAAACTTGTGGTTCAAAAACGCGAAAGGTCCTGGGTTCGATCCCCAGTTGGTCTATTTCGTTTTCCCTTTTTTTTTTTGGGGGGGGGGGTGAAGGGGGTGTGAGTTTTCTTTTAGTTCTTATTCCAATATTAACTCTACTATTTAACCAAACTATTATTTTCTTACTAATTGTTTTTAATAGTTAAAAAAACTTTTTATGTTATTATTTTTATTATAGACATAACTTTAGAAAAAGCAAATAAAAATAAATATACTAATACTAGTACTTTTTCTATATTTTTCTTTTTAAATTCTTAAAAGGCTAGATTAAAATCTAATCTAGTTTTAAAGTATATATATATATTTAAAGAATATAACTACTATAACCTAGGTTTTTAAAACAATTTTTTTTAATATAATTTATAATTATATAAGTTTTTTTAATTATACTTTTAAAAAGTTTTTATACTTTTTTTTTTTTTACTTTTTAGTAATATTATAATATAAGCTACTTTTTTTATTTAAAATACTACTCTAAATATTTTAATTAAAAGTTTTTATTAAACTATATTTATAAAATACTTAAAACCTTTATTTAGTAGTTAATAAATTTTAAAAGAAAATTTCTTAATAAGTATATATTAAGGACGGCTTAAAAGAGCCGTTAGGTATTATAAAAATTAAAAATATTTATTTATTAATAAATATTTTTAAGCTTTAAGAGCTACATTAAGTCGCTAATAACATACTATTAAGTTATAAATAGTTATTAAAATTTAAGGCCTTATAATAAAGATTTTTTTATATTAAGTTATTATAATATATTAATAATATAGTAATACTAGCAACTCTATATAGCTTAATTAATTATATAAGAAAATACTAGAATATAAAAACTACTTAACTTGAAGCTATTTTAGTAAATAGATAGAATATTTTTAGTTTTAACCAGCTCTAGAATCACGTTAGTACTTTATAATATATATATAAGTATAAAATTCCTACTAGCATAATAAGAGTATAGATAAAGTTTAAATATTACTACTAGAAATAAAAGAAGTTATTAACTAATAAAGTTATAAGGGTAGTTAATAGATCTATTAAGTTAAAACACAAATAACTAAGCTATTTTAGTAAGTTAAGTTAATATTAATATTAAAATATTCTCTTAAAAATAGTGCACCGCACCTGGATATATATATAATAAAATTAAAACAAGTTAGTAAGTAATATAATTAAAGGCTTTATATTAATTAAATAAAGCCTTTAAGTTATTTACTTATAAGATATAGACGGTCTATAGAGGGAGATTTTTATAAATAATAGAAAATTAATTTTATAATAGTACTTAAACAGCTAGTAAGCTATAGCACTATACTATAATTAAAAAAATAATAATAAAAAGCATAAATAATATACTCTCTATTTATACTAAAAATACTAAAGACTAAACTAGGCTGGTAACTTATTTAGAGTATAAAAGTAACTTAGTTTATATTTAAATTATACTAGAGAGTATGCTTTTTACTTTTAGTAAAATATTACTAGTATAAAGCCTATATACTAAAGTCACTATCTAAAGAGATAGTATAGTAACTAGAGAGAATAAATACGTATATTAATAGATTAAGAAAGTAGAATTTAAAAAGCTAAAGTAAATCTAACTTATACTTAAACTAGCTATAAATATATATATAACATAGGTATTACCTTTCTCTCTAACTTCTTTTAGAAGGCTAGAGTAAACTTAACTTATACTTAAGCCAGCTATATACGTAAATACAGTATAAATATTATTTTTTTCTTTAATTTCTAAAGGTACTACTAGAGGCCTGCTTAAAGTATAAATTTTTAAAATACAACTACTAAAAGTCCTTCTTTATATAATAATAGACTATTTATGTAAATAAAAATAGTCTAAAAATAGTACTATAGAAAGTCTCGTAAACTCTCTACTATCTAGACTTAATATAATTAGATTTATTAAGTTTAATATAAGTAGTATAAGTATTAGGAATCTAGATAGAACCCTAGAAGCTAAATTAAAGCTAGAATTAATAAAATTAGAAAAGAAATATATAAGGGAAACCGCTTAGAGATTCCTTAATTATAAAATAAGACTTAAGTAGCTATTATTACTTAAATATTATATATAATAAACGCAGCTACTGTGTTATAGAGGACTATAATCTAAATCTATTTTAAAAATTCCTAAAAAAAGAACCTAAAAGAGATACTAAAAATAGCTAAAAAGATAATACTAAAAGTATTTACTATAAATACTTTAAAGAATAGTAATATCAACGTTTACGTGCTATCCTAAATAATAAAAAACTAAATTATAATAAACTAAATACACTAGAACTTAAAATCCTAAAGGAAAACTATTTTTTAAAGATTCTAAAAGTTTTACTTAAGATAAAAATTAATAAGAGAAGAAATATAGATAACTCTGAGCTAATATATGCTATATATAAAGCTACTAAATAGCTAGTACTAAATATAGCTATTATCTAAATCTAATAGCTATATAACTTTAAGGCGTAGGAGATATGCTATAGAAATACTAAAAGCAGCTAAAAAGAGCTAAAAAAGACTTATAAGACTTTAATTATTAAAATACCCATACAGGTGATCTAATAGAAGATTATAAAAAATAAACTAATTATTAACTTCCAGCTCTTTAAAGCAAGGCTATTTGATAATAGTATAATTATTAAATAATACTTTTAATATAGCTAATATGGCTATATTTAAAGTATATATAGAAAAAAAATATAGTATAAATATTACATAAGTCTATATAATATAATAGAATATCCTTAAGAAAGAGTATCCTATATAAACTATAGAAAAGCCTATAAAGTATAGTAATAAAAAGAGTATAAGATTATTATAGGTTATTAACTTACTAATATAATATTATACTAGTAACTAGCTATCTAACTAATTATATAACGTTAATTAGTTCTCTTGTTTCTAGATTAGATAGTTTATTAGACTTAGTAGAAGTTAATTAACTCAGTAAAAATAGAAAAAAGTAATATAATAAATTAAGGTTTAATAAAATAGTATTAAACTATATCACTTAAGACGTGATTCTTAATTTTAAAGTAACTATAAAGAATTAAAACTAAATAATAATAAAGGGAGAGCCCTTTTAAATACTTAATTTTTTATAACTATAAACTAATTAACCTTTATTTAAACTTATTAGGTAATAGTTATTATTTATATATAATAATATTTTAGTACTCTTACTTAGTACTATTATATTATATATATCTAGATTTTATGTCTTTTAGCTCTTATGGCTTTCTTTTTTAGCCTAGTATTTCTTTTTTTAGTTAGCTCTTTTTTAGCATAACTGAGACTTATTATAAGTAAGTTAATCTTTCTAACTCTATTCTTATTTTTCTTAACTATTTTAAGATACTTTGCTTTCTAGTTAACTTTATTAGTATTATTATTTTATAATTATATTCTACAGTCTATAACATTCACCTCTTTTCTTAGAGTATTATTATTCTAATAATTATTTTCTACTTTTAGCTTTTAGTAGGTGTCCCGTGCGTTTTTAGTAAAATATTTTTAGTATAAGTTTTAAGTATAAAAGTAGCTTATTTCTAACGTGGTTTTATATATTTTTTTTTTCTAATTTACTTTAGTAAGCTCGTTTACCTAATTTTAATAATAACTAAAACTAAGTTTTTAACCGTCTGTTTTTGTTGTCTTATTAAATTAATTTATAACCATAATCACTTAATACTAACGCTGTGTGAAAACTATTAAAAATAGTAGTATTATTACTTAATAAATTTTTTTTTTAGATTACTATTTAAAATACGTTAATTATAGTTTAAAGTATAATCTTATAGTAATTTAGCTAGAATTAGATCAGAATTTAACTATCTATTATTAGATTCTTTTTTAAATTTATGAAGCTAAGGAGTTTTTATTAATAACTTATGTTTATACTCAGCACCTATATTATAAGCTTACTTAAGTTAATTCTAAATATCATGAGATAATAGACTATAAAATAAAGTCTATTAAAGAGCTAGAAAAACTAAAGAAAGAGGAAAAGTCTTAATAGAAAACTATACTACTATAATCCTTAGCTCTTTTTAATACTATTATTTTTTTATCCTTTAATTTTAACTAGAACGCGTTTTAATTACCTTTCTTTTAGAAATAACTTATAGTTATTTCTTCTAATAATACTAGTTAATTAGCTTTAAACTATTCTTTAAGTTTCTAACTAGCTTCTATGTATTGTCTTTAGGTCTATATTTTTTTTATTTAACTAAGTACTTCTATTAACACCTGAATCGCTAGTAGTCCAGAATTTATTAGACTTTATACTTAGTTATGTTTTTTTTAAGTTTAAGTTTTATCTATAGTTCAGCGTGTAGTAGTGCTGGTTCTAATTTTAAAATATAAAAAACTAAGTAAATCCTTATATTCTTAGATAATTATAGTTTATAATTTATAGATTCTATTTATCACTTAACTTTAAATAGTCCTAATTTAATATAGTCTAGTTTTTTTAATAGTTGTTTTATTTCTAAAAATTTTTATAATAGGAAAATTTTATCTCTTTTCTTAAAAATTAGTCTCTTAACTTTAGATTTATTTTTAATCTATTTGCTAAGATTACCTCTATAGGTGATTTTTTATATAATTTCTTAATAAAATTATTATAGTTTCTTAACTCTTATTCTTATGGATTCTGATATTTTATTTAGTCTTTATAGTTCTTAATAAGCCGTAGGCTTATAACTATAGTTTATATAAAATAATAATTTTCCTATAGTTAATAATTTTATAGAGTTATATATAAACTTAGCTATTAGTAATAAGTTAATCTAATTATCTTACTATTTATTAACATATATTTATAGGTATTATTCTAGTATCTGGTTTATTTATTCTGTTTATTTATTTATTTATAGGTGAAATGCTATTAAGAGGCGGTGTTCTACCCCTAGCTTTCTAATAAATATTTTCTAGAATATTAATATAAATAATTTGTTTTTGTCTGTAATAAATTCTTATAGCAGCTTATATTATGC